TCTGCCATTCTGTTTTCTCCATGAAATAATAGGCAAGGGCATCAACCAAAAGTGTGGGTTTGGGGGATGGTATTTGCAGAGAGGAGAATGAAAGTGAGTGGAAGAGTCAGTTGACCACAGATAGTGGTAGGAATGCCAGGCAGTGTTGGGGGCCTCCTTGGGATCTGTGTTCCAAATGAAATCATCTTCAAAGTCAAACCTTTAATTGTTCTTTTTTCCTCCGTTGACAGTTCAGCTCCTCTCCAAGCACTGAGGACTTGACTGCATCTTACTTCAATTAATCCACACATCAGTCCATCAGCTATTATTTATTTATTATGTATTAATATACATTACCATTTATTCATTCATTCATTCCATCATATTTATTGAGTTCTAGGCACCATTTTAGGTACTGGGGTTACAGAAGTGAACAAAACAAATCTCTAATTTCAGGAAACTTATTTTCCATATCCTAAAAAATATGAGGCTTCATCTTTGGTAAACATAAATCCTCAGTGAAAACCAATTAGAAGCTGGAAGTTTCCACATTTAAGTACTCAGACAGAACTTGATTTGCCTAAAGGCTTAGAAAGAATACCAAGGCCCTGAGACAGATTGGGCCCAGCAAAGGAGTTAAGGACATGTAGCTGCCTCAGGGAATGCACCTTTCTTTCTTTCCCACTAGTGCTGGGCTAGCTCCCTGGAATCTAGCCAAGTGCAGCAGACAGAAGAGTAATCTGCTGGAATTTTTGTCTTTATTGTCAGAGCAAGGATTCATCATTATCTCCAGAAAAGCATAAACTCATTGACCATCATAACAAAACAGGATCTGCCCCATCCAAATTCTCAGGACTTCATAAACCCTAGAAAATACAACTTCCTTTGAACTCAGAAATATGTCCAAAAGGCAAATAGAGCATACACTAAAAAGGGCTGATTAAAAAACTACATCTTCTCATTTTATCTTCCTTTCTTTCTGACATGTTTTGGATTTTTCTTTTTATTCCTTTCCTCTTTGCTCACTAATTTTCATCCGCTCTCTATTTTTAATGAAATAAAGGGTTCTAGAACCCTCAGAAAGCCACTGTTTGATCATAGGCAGTGATCACTGTGACTTTAGGAAGAAAGCTGGCTTTCATTGAAGCCAGGGTTTCCTCTGACTCTAGGCATATAGGTGCAGGAAGAAGAGTGGAGTACGAGTGTGGACTATGAGTTTCCTCCAGGAAGAGATTTGGGTTCTCTCTTTGTGATCTCAGAGTTCACAGCTTTGTTATAATGAACAAATAAAGTGCATGTCTATTGGGTCCAGAAAAAAAAAAGAGAGAGAGAATGGAGTAAATGAGTTTTGTGCTTTATTCCTCTGCATTAACAGATACTTCTTGGGGCACCTGGGTAGCTTAGTCAGTTAAGTGCCTGACTTCAGCTCAAGTCATTATCTCATGGTCCATGGGTTTGAGCCCCGCATCAGGCTCTGTGCTGACAGCTCAGAGCCTGGAACCTGCTTAGGATCTGTGTCTCCCTCTCTCTCTCCCCCTCCCTTGCTTGTGCCCTGTTTCACTCTCTCTCTCAAAAATAAATAAACATTAAAAAAAAAAAAAACCAGATACTTCTTAGCTGTTGTTTTAAAAGAGAATATGACAATGGAACTTTTTGTTCACCAGATACAAGTAGCATGTTCCCATGCCATATCTTCCTTTGTGCAGTAGGTGTCAGCCTCATACAGCCTTTCTCTTGCTAAGCTCTGGTTCATAAGAAAATGACCCTCTTACCCACTCTTTCCCAGGTTAAAAGGATCACTTTCTTCCTATCCTAAGCACGCAAATCAACAATAAATAGTCACCTGGATACTGGAAACGGAGTTGTGCTAATGCAGTTGGAAAGTGGCCAAACTGAGGACTGTGTGAAGGAGGTGACAAATATTGAGGGGAGGGCACAAGTCCTGTGGGTCTCATGTTCTGAACAGATGTTAAGTGTTAACATCAAAGGGGCTCTTTAAAAGGCACAGTTATGGGGTATCTGGGTGACTCAGTTGGTTAAGTGTCCGACTTTGCTCAGGTTGTGATCTCACGGTTTGTGGGTTCGAGCCCTGCATTGGGCTATGTGCTGACAGCTAGCTCAGAGCCTGGAGCCTGCTTCGGATGCTTTGTCCCTCTCTCTCTCTAACCCTCCCCTGCTCATGCTGCCTCTCTCTCTCTCTCTCTCTCAGAAATAAATAAAACATTTTTAAAAAATTAAATAAATAAAAGGCACAGTTATGACACCAACTTAAGAAGATGTAGACATTGCCCTGATCAAAGTCTTCAAGTAGCTATAGTGTCCTGAGAAAAGCTCTCCATGTGTAAACTATTGACATCCCACTTGCCCAGAAGTAGATTGTCTCGTCTTTGACCTCAGGTAAGACACTTCTCTGAGCCTTAGCTTCCTAATCTTTCTAAGAAGAAAAAGTAACTGCCTTCTCTATCCAAAGTATTTAATAAGGAGGAGGAAAAAAAAACAGATATTGTGCATAAAACACTTTGTAGACTGTAAACCACTATTTAAATGTAGAAAGTAGAATAAAAGCTATAAAGGCAAATGTGGAATAGTTATGAATAAAAAATAATTCAGTGCTCAAAATTTAAGAAACCTCAGTTAATAATTTCTATAGATTTTTTTCATCATATTACACCAAGATTTTTTTACTCTCTTGTGTTCAATGTTAGTCATGTGGAATTTTGACACACTTAGGGTTTATTTCACAAAAAGATTCCAACCTGAAGAGAGCCATGTAATAGGAATAAATGGTTCTGTTAAAAGAGGGAAGAGTACTCAGTACTTTAGTGGCATGCTTAGTACCACTATATCCCAAGAATGTATTTGATCCCACAATTCTCCTTAACTCCTTTTTTAAAAAAAAGTTTTAAAGGTTTTTTTTTTTTTTTTTTTTGAGAGAGAGAGAGTGGGATGGGGGACAGAGAGAGAGGGAGAGAGAGAGTTCCAAGCAGGCTCTGCACTGTCAGTATAGAGCCCTACGTGGGGCTCAAAATCATGAAATCATGACCTGAGCCGAAATCAAGAGTCCGACACTTAACTGCCTGATCCACCCAGGCCTCCTACCCTCCTTAAGTTCTTTAATCATAAATTCAGCTGGCTAAAGCCTGCCATTTTGTGGTCGGTTTGCACTGATTTTGGTAAGAGAACTCAAATTCATCACATTAATGTTTTATCTCATATTAAATCCACACATTTAAATTAGAAATATAAATGTAATTGAAAGAACTTGTTTTTGGGAAGGAGAAAGATTATTTGTTTTATACCTTAATGTTGAAATTTGGGCAGAAGTCTTCAAATCATATTGTTTAAAAATGAATCTATCAAATATTTCCTCAATGCTTTGTCCTTCAGGAAAGGCCAAACTCAAAATTGCCATGACTCATGCCCTCCTGTGGAGTTTTGTGCTACATATTCCTTACTTCTCTGTTCTTTTTATTGAAAATTCTATTTATTTATTCATTCATTCATTCATTCATTCATTTTGCTGAGGCTTTCAATTTTTTTGCTGTATCTTGAGCTGGCAGAAGGAGAAGAGATTGAACTCCGAACCTTTGAAACTTCTTACTTGCTGAGTAGTTCCAGTGAAAATAATGTGGATTGGACTTTATCTTATTTGGAAAGTCTTTGCCACAATAGTTCAACCATCCCTATTATAAGGAATTAAGTATTTATTTTCCTTAAAATGCAGAGTCTTTTGGAACATTTTCCAAAAACTGAAGCCAAATTTCTGTACTTAGCAGTCAGCTTGGGGACCTTTATTTTTGAGACTCACTTTATTTTTTTTTTTAAATGTTTTATTTATTTCTAGGAGAGAGAGAGACAGCGTGAGCAGGGGAGAGTCAGAGAGAGAGGGAGTCACAGACTGAAACAGGCTCCAGGCTCTGAGCTGGCAGTCAGCACAGAGCCCGACGCGGGGCTCAAACCCACGAGATCATGACCTAAGCGAAAGTCGGACGCTTAACCGACTAAGCCACCCAGGCGCCCCGAGACTCACTTTAAAATCAAGTACTTTTACATAATATATTTAATATAGATTTGAAATAATTTTATTTTCGATTTATCGTGTGGTCTGCTATATTTCTTCTTGCTGTTTTTTCAAAGTACTTTACAATTATAAATAGATATCATTGCCCTCACCATAAAGCAGCAGTTCCTGGGTGAAATTCTTCATGGAAGCCAAGACACAGTATCAATATGATATGTTGGTCATTTCTTAACATCACCAATCTGTTTTATGATCAGAAAGGTCCAGATAGCTCTCCACTCCTTCCCTGGGCTGTCTTTCAAATGGATGCAAAAAAATACTAGAAGCTGTGAAAGGCTCCACCCTACTAGATTTTGTGTCATTCTTTTCTGGGTCCAGAGTGGAAGTAATTTTCATCCTGCCTTAGCTAACACTGAATAGAGCTGTGAACAGTAAGGCCACCACCTCTTCCTGGTGATTCTATTTCACCTATGCTCTTTACAGCTCACAATTCTACTAAACGAGCCTCTTTTCCATTATTTTTATTTCTTTCCATTCCCCTTCCCCAGCCATGCATTTCCTTCTACTTTCAGAAACTTAAGACAAGGTCCCTACAACCTTCTCTCCTGTATCCTCAAATGATCCAGACATAAATATTTTAGCACAGTCACCAGTGTATTTCTGAGGAAGTGTCTGCACAACCGGTCCCTTATTTATAAAGCTCACAAATGCTGTATGACCTGTAACGCTATACCAGCTAATGAACTCTCCCAGAACAGTTGACATGGAAGGATTTTACTTCCACTTCTCACAGGGAGAAAGATGGAGAATGAGAGACGATTACAAAGCAGAATATTTTAATCCATCTTCTCGGTGATCTTTGGGGGCTGTGTGCTAATATTTAAATTGAAAAGGAGGGAGGAGACGGACTGAGGATGGAGAGAAACGAGGAGGTGGGGGCGGAGCTAGCTCAGCCTATAAAACACCATGCTAAAAGGGAAGCACATTCGTGTGTGCCCGGGGCACTCTCCCGTAACCTAGAGAGATGGGGCAGTCTGTGCCGTGAGGACAGAGCTTGGAAGAAAGAAAACAAGGACGAGAAAACAAACGAGACATAAGAGGACATCTGGAGAAAGCGGAAGGCAGAAGACAGGGAGGGGAAAACAAACCCACAGCAGGTGGAAACAAGATCTAGAGCAAACCGGTCTGGTCCACAGTTGTTTTTCTGGAAGAGAAGAAAGTACTGAAGGATTGCTTTTTTTCCTTTCAGTCAACGAAAACTCTTATCTTCATCGTAAAAGAAAAGGCTAAGGGAGGTAAAGACAATCTTTGTTTTCTTAGGGGCACAGCTGAATGAAACCCAGACTAGGTCTTTGAAGCGTCTAAAATAAGCCAGTGCCTGGTACACATTGCAGAACCATTCTGGTCTCTGAAGATCTACATCCTCTTCAGGAAAATTCCAGCCGGAGTAGCTGGTACGGTTCTATTTTTATATTTTAATATCTATGCCTCTTTCCCCCCACTTTTAACAACCCTTTCCTTGTTTGTAAGCACGAGTGACAAGAAAGTGTCAATATGGAATAGGAAGATTTGCAGTTTTTTCTTTTATCTGCTTGAGTCTTTTTTAAGAGGGTAGGGGTGGTCCTTATTTCGGAAAAGGACATTTCAATTTGAAAGACAGTCTCTTAAAATATATTTGCACCCACACGTATTTAGAAAGAGAGATACCTGTCGGAGGTTGAAATCCAATGGGAAAGATGGAAAAAGGAGCCAGGCACCGAAACAACACTGAAAAGAACCACCCTGGTGGGAGCAAGTCGGACACCAGCCCTGAGTCTGGTTCTGGAGGGGGTGGAGTAGCCCTGAAGAAAGAGATTGGATTGGTCAGTGCTTGTGGTATCATTGTAGGTGAGTCCAATTTCATTTCCCATCCACCACTCCTCCCCTTCTCTGGTGGTCGTCCTCTTATGGAACCTATGCCCCCTTTAAAGTGCTATTTTTGCTTCCTACTCCCTTAGAAAAGGATTGTCATTCACCTGTGCCGTAACCAATCCCTGGTGGTCAAGTTTGCAGGTCTAGGAAGCTGTGTATGTCTTATATCTCTTCCTTCAAAGCAGGCTGAGCAGTTCTTTCCAGTGTTCATAGAATGGAGCAAATAGGGTTCACACACCTAGCTGATGGGGTCAGCATTGCCTGGGAGCTTGTTGGAAATACAAGTTTCCTGTCTCCACACTTTTTTTTTTTTTTTTTAATTTTATTTCTAGGAGAGAGAGAGAGAGAGAGACAGCGTGAGCAGGGGAGTGTCAGAGAGAGAGGGAGTCACAGACTGAAACAGGCTCCAGGCTCTGAGCTGGCTGTCAGCACAGAGCCCGATGCGGGGCTTGAACCCACGAACCGCGAGATCATGACCTAAGCGAAAGTTGGACGCTTAACCGATTAAGCCACCCAGGCGCCCCAGGGCTCCAGTAGTTTTTTGAGGTCTCATGACTTTGTTGGCTCTCTGTATTTTAAATTATTAGCACTGATGTGTAGCTACTCGTATGCTTTGGAAATACTTTTTAAAACCACGCTGATTACAAATGGAAGNACAGAGCCCGACGCGGGGCTCGAACCCACGAACTGCGAGATCATGACCTAAGCGAAAGTCGGACGCTTAACCGACTAAGCCACCCAGGCGCCCCTTCCTGTCTCCACACTTGAAGGTTGTGATTCAGTTGGCTTAAGGTGGGGTTAGGGAACCTGAATTTTTAACAGGCTTTCATGCAGCCATCTCTTTAGTAGGTTGGGGACTGTCTTTAAGCCATATTTAGTAGATGCTTTGTTGTTTTGTGTCCTATGAAACTGTGGGCCTAGAGGATGTGTAATAAAAAGAGCTACAACAGCAGTAATAATGCCTTGCCTTAAATAGCTTTTTTTCATCTTATGCAGCACTTTCTCTTTTTAAAGTAGATGTGACAGGGCTGTTATTACCATTTCACAGATGAGGAAATAAATTATGGAGAAAAGGAGAGACAGATTGCGCCTCTCTGTAAATATAGAGTTTGCAGTTTCTCTAGTTGCCTATGAGTCCGCCCATCTCCTAACATTCATGGAAGACCCTATGAGGCTCTCAAAAGAAAATAGGAGTAACTAGAATGATCAGAATGTGGAGTAAAGCAGGAACCAGTGGGTAAAATGGGTCCCAGCTGGAAGACTTTGAAGCTGGGGGGACAAAGTGTCCCTGAGAGTGCAGACATAGGCTACTCCAATCCTCGAACCACACACTACTGGGCAGAAGGTCCCAAATACGGTTCAATCTCTAAACAATACATCTTCCTCTTTCCAGAAAGGCCCTGGAGCTGGATGGGCAATGGCTTATTACTTGAGAGAGTGACCATTTCTTCTGCTGTTTTTGGTAGAGGGCTTAAAAGACTCTTCCCAGAGAATAGGGTAAGAGATAGTCAGGCCAGATATGTTTGTGTCATCTCTTCAAAGTTCCTTTTGAAGGCTTATCGTGTCCTATTGCCCATGAATCAGTGTTTCTGGATGAGCCCGTGTTACATGCAGTAGCACAGAGGCATTTTGGCACCCAAGCAATAGTGACATTGGAGAACCCCTTTGAAATCAAATAAAATCAGTACAGTATTCAGATAATCCTCTTCACCTCTACACCCAGACTTTGGTGATCATGTTATCTCTCCACTCTGTTTTCAAAATGGAATCTCATTTTATCTAATTCTCTGACTTTGGGAGGTTTTCCAGACATCTACAGTTAAAAGAAAGGTAATGTTATTTTAGAAAATTACAATCATGATCTGAATCTCTCATTACCTTTTCTTTGCTTCTCCTTTATCTCAATTGCTCAAAAAATGAGATCAGCAAAGTACTCGATATGTATAGCACATGCCAACTTATGGTCTATAAATAGCCCAGAGCCTGTTACCTCTTTCACCAGTTTGACTGATAGGATTAAGCATTTTCCTCCTCTTATTCATATGCAGATGTTACACCCTCTTGCACACAAGCACAATCAAACCTCCTTCCTGCTTCAGCCTTGCTTACCCACCCCTGTATATGTGGAGGTATTCAAAAGTGGGGGATATTTTCCCATACAATGAGGTAGTTCTTGTCTCTTTCTTCAACAGGTTTCTAAATGTTGAAGAAATACAGTCTTAGTTGGATAAATGTTACTACTGATTTGCCCAAAACCTCATAGATTGAGCTTCAGTGTGAGAATAGTCCCAAGATTCCCATTGACATTACAGTGACAAGAATAGTAATTCTGTGGTGAAGAGAGATCCCAAATAGGTGATTTCAGAGAAATCAGGATATTTTTCCAAAGTGTGAGAATCTTTGAAGAGTTAATAGGCACTATTTTACCTCCATTTAAGCTAGAGTGAGACACAGATTTTCTCTTTAGGGTGATATGGGAGCAAAATTTTTTCTGCTTTTGTCAGAGGAGGATCATCTGCTTCCAGGAAAAAAAAATTCTTCTTGCTTCCCCTCCTTCATGGCTGTTGAATGGCAGATATGCTGAGCAGAAGTCCTGTCCTCTTCTAGAAGGGTTTCTGAGTGGATGACAGGGATTCAAGGTTTTTCAAGACCAAATGCAAAAATAGAAATGACATTTTCCATGCAGAATTCAGTGATCTGGTGTTCAACATCAACACTGTGGAAGAAAGAAAACTGGAAGGCAAAAAGAGAACAGAAATTTCCTAAGTGGGTCAGGTGATACAGTATAGGAAAGTAGCATTTGCCCCAAATCTATCTCTCATACCCAATTAAAGGGATAAGTTAAACTAGATGTTTCATACAAGCTCATAAAATTTCATTAACAAGCATCATTGATGATATAAAGTAGGAATGATAGAATGGTAGGTGTTACAGGAATGTAGAATGAACTAATAGAAACCCATGCCCTAGAGTTACTTATAATCTGACTGGGGAAATGACATTCATTTATATTAAACAAATAATATTAAAATTTAATGATATAGTTGAGTTGTATAAGAGCTGAATAAGGGCAAAATTAGGTGAATAGTAGGAAGCACAAGGAGAGAAGTCTCACTCAGCACTAGACTAAAAAATATCTTGAAGGGTGTTGAAGATGGTATAGAGAAGAGGATTCTGGGAGATTTAATAGGTAAAAGTTAAACAACAAAACTGTTATTCCCTTGAGGGAAAAAAAAGAATCTTCTACATCTCTGAATCTTTAGTGCATAGCCCAACATGGAACAATAACTCAAATGATTGTTGGACTTAATTGGCTATTGGTCAAAAGTCTGAATATAGTAATAATAACAAGTGTTTATCTGAAGGACTGTTGGGAACCTGGCTTGAAAATCTTTAAGCAAGGAATGATTTCATCAACATAGACAATTAGGTTAGCCATTAAAAAAAAAAAAAAAGTTTTTAAGTAAGCTCTACTCTCAATGGGGCTTCAACTCACAAACCTGATATTAAGAATCACATGCTCCACTGGCTGAGCCAGCCAGGTGCCCCAGGCCATTTTAATTTTTAATATCACCTTTACCTTAATCTAACCAGACTATTGCTCTCCATGTACTTGGCTAATGAAATCTGTTGACAATAGATGAATGTATATTTCACTATGAATGCATAGTTCCCCCCAAATCTAAAGAGAGTGTGACAAAAAAGTGTGACAGAGCAACAAAATTCATCTAATGATAACAAAAGCACTGTTAAGAGCTTTCGTTATTTTTTTTAAAGACTTTAATTTTTAAGCTGTATCTCCATCCAATGTGGGGCTCAAACCTATAACCTCAAAATCAAGAGTTGCACGTTCCACTGATGGAACCCCCAAAAGCTATCATTATTAAGCACTTAATGCCAGAAACTTGTGCAGTTACCCAACATCATTATCCTATTTACCTTGACAATACCTGGCCTGGTAGACACTTATCTCTTTCTCCAGATAAGGAAATAGAGACTCAGATGGATAAACAAACTGTTGAAGATCACATAGCTAAAAAGTATTGAAGGCAAAGTTTGTCCAAATCCTGAATTGAACTTTTAAGCATTATTCTCTACTATTTCTGCTTTTATGTTCTAAAGGAAAGTTTTCCTTTAGATTGTGGGAGAGGTCCTTATTTGTTTATATATATATTTTTGGGTTTTTTTTTCTTTTTCTCTTTCTTGAGAACATGCAAACATGGAGGAGGGGCAGATGGAAAGAAAGAGAATCTTAAACAGGCTCCACACCCTGCATAAAACTTGCCCTGGGGCTTGATCTCACAACCATGAGGTAATGACTTGAGCTGAAATCAAGAGTCAGATGCTCCATGAACTGAGCCACCCAGGCACCTCTGAGATATTTTTATAAATAGTATTTATTGGGGTGCCTGGCTAGCCCAGTTGGTGGAGCATGCAACTCTTGGATCTTGGATCACGGGTTCGAACCCCACATTGGGTGTAGAAATTACTTAAAAATAAAATCTTTAAAAGAGTAAAACTAAAAGAGTAGTATTTATTGAGTTTTTACTAAATGCCCACAGTTCCTGTGCTATGAACTTCTTATGTATATTACCTTATTTAATCATGACCACAATCTCATGGAAGTAGATATCATAACTGTCTATATTTTTTATTAAAAAATTTTTTAATGTTTATTTATTTTTGAGAGAAAGATAGACAGAGTCAAGTGGGGGAGGGGCAGAGAGAGATGCAGAATCTGAAGCAGGCTCCAGGCTCTGAGCTGTCAGCACAGAGCCCCATGTGGGGCTCAGCCCATTAACCATGAGATCATGACCTGAGCCGAAGTCGGATGTTTAACTGACTGAGCCACCCAGACGCCCCTCTATTTTTAAACATGGGGAATTGAGTCACAGAGCTGCTAGATAATTTGCCAGGGGTCACACAACTGATTAATGAGATGGTCTGACTGCAGAGCCAAAGCTTTTAGCTATTCC